GGCTCGCCTGGCTCCCCTCGGGTTTCTGGGGCAGAGTGTGTGGATGGGGCCCCGCAGCACCTGGGAACCCAACCTCAACCCAGCTGGGGTCTCCCCCACAGCACCGCGACAACCCGGCCGCCTGCCACTGAGGATAAATCAGACTACCGAGTACAGAAGAGGGGCTGGGTGTCCTGGGAGCATATAGCTCAAGTATGCCCCCGCTGCTAGAGCCCTGCAGACCTGGAACATGCATCCAAAGCAGGTCCTTGGCCTAGGAGGAACAGGAAGACACCCGTGTGCCGGACAATTACCGCAGCCGGGCCCGGGAGGCAGGAGGACTTCCAGCACCCACCACTGCGGGTGGCCTTAAGCCAGCAGCAAGACTTTCCCCAGGGCTGGCTGGATAGACAAGGCCCCCAGCCCCTCCAGACACAACCTGCATGTCCAGCTCTCCAGGTGTCCCTCGCCTGGAGCAGCCTCCGGGGACGTGTCCTCCAGCTGCGGCCTCACCGGAGTCAGGACCATAAGCGTCCCGCCAGTCCTGACACTGAACGTGGCCGGATGGGGAGGAAACAGCCCATCCCAAGCACAGTGGGCTGGATCCAATCAGAGGGCATGCCTACGCCCCCCCCCCATGGAAAGCCACCCTGGCAAAGCTGGGCATGGCTTTCTGCTCCCTGGCACCTTGGGCTCAAGCCAAGGCCTGAGCTCAGACCAGGGCTGCCTGGCTGTCGGCCCCCAGAGACCCCAGGGCCTGGGTCTGAGAGGCTGAGGAAGGAGTCCAAGCACTGGGCCAGGCCCCTCTGCACCCCCTTGCCTCACCCACAGTCAGGAGTCCCCTATCCCAACTGTACAGACAGACAGACCAAGGCAGAGCACCGTGCGGTGGGGGCCGGCCCTGAACGGACACCCCCTCTCCTCCCCGCAACCAAAGCTCCCGAGACCCCCGCCCACTCGCACAGGCCACACTCAGGCGCAGACTCACCGGCAGCCAAGCGGGGGTTGGGGACGTGGGCGATCCTCTTCCTCTCACCAGGGGCCGAGATGTGCACCGAGGTGGGCTTCTCCGCCTGCAGCCCGCCGGCTGACTCCCTCTGTGCCCGCTGGGCCCGCAGGTAGCACACCTCCTGTGCTGTCGGGGGCCGGGCCAGGGGTGCTGCCGGGCGGCTCCTCGGGGGCTCCGCCTGGGTGACCGCAAGAGTCGGGGCCAGGGTCACACCTGGGCACCCAGGGCGGGCAGTCCAGGGGGGGCTGATGACGGGGCTGCAGGAGCACTGGGGTGGCCGCCTCCTGGGCCACGTCCCCAGCTGCTGGGAGCCCCGGCAGGCAGAGGCAGCGGGGGCCCTCGCTGCCATGCCGCCCTCCCGACTCCCACACCCAGGCACAGCCTCAGCCCTGACACGGGCACAGAGCGGGTGGGGCAGGCCTCGCTGAGGTGTTGGCGCACCCAAGCCCCCAACCTAATCTTCCGCAGGGAGGGGCTATGACCCAGGCAGCTGGGGCCTCTGCCTGTCCTGGGCTGACTCCCACCCCTGCACAGCACACCTGCTGGAGGCCAGATCGCCCCGGGCCACCCTTCCCTGCTCCGTGTCCCCTCCCAATACTGTGGACAACTTGAGGACAAGAAGTGGGTGGGACCCGCTTCTGCCCAGGCCCAGGCAGTGCTTAGTACAAGGGGGCTTCAAAAAGTCAGTGGAAAATGCTGATTGTGAAAAATCTGTACGTCAGTTTCACAAGTTTCCTGCACCAAAACAAACTTGAACTAGCCAGCAACACGCCTGAGCCGGACCTAGTGTGAGGTGCTAAGAATAAGCCTGATTTTTTATTTCTGTAGAGACGGGGTTTCCCTGTCTCCCAGGCTGGAATGCAGTGGCACAACTGCAGTCTCCCACTCAGGGCTCAGGCGACCCTCCCGCCTCAGCCTGGCCGAGGGCTGTGTCACGGGCGCCAGCCACCATGCCGGCCTCTTGAGTGTTCCGAGAGGCGTCGTCAGACACCTGCCTCAGAGGCCCCCTGGGCTCCCCCCTCCTCCTGTTCCGAGCCGCAGAACCCCCTGCAAAGGGCACCCACTCGTCTTCCGTGAATAACATCATGGCCTACACTGCCGTGGCCATGCTCCCAGCACCCTCTGTCCTTTCGGAATGGACCCAGCGGCTGGGCCCGTCAGCCACAAAAGGCGTCTTGACCTTGACGGAGCTTGTGTTGCAAAGCAAAGTTTGCATCTTGGACGCGCATCACTTCGTTGAACTCTGTGAAGTCCCCTCACGCCAGTCTGCCAGGCAAGCCCACCCGTGGGTGGACGAGGAGACCCTGGCTCTGCAGGGGCAGGGGCGGTGGAGGCCATGGCCCTCCCTGGCCCGCCCCTCACTCCCTGGCCCCTCACCTCTGGGCCCTGCTTGGCGAGGTGGGAGATCCTCCTCTTCTGCCCGGGGAGCAGCGTGGTCAGGCCCGCAGGCCCCTTCTCCTCGCCCTGCTGCTCCTTCAGGGGCTGAAACACACCCGTCAGCAGGGCTTCGCCTCCGTGCCCCCCTCCTAGCACCCACACACCTCACCGAGCCAGCACCCCTGGAGGTGCCCGGCCACGCCCGCGGTGAGGACGCAGAGTCTGCACCCGCCTGGGGCCGAGCCCGGCCCAGAGCCGCCTCCTGAGTTTCGCGGCTGCACACATCCCACCTGTGCCCACAGCCACCTCCCCCGCCCGGCACAGGGCAGCGTCGGCCCGGAGGGCGCCGTCCCTGGTCACGCACATGCAGCCGAGGGCAGAGCGAGCAATCCTGCCAGAGGGACTGGACGGAGCCCCAGGACAGTATGGGAGGCGAGTGCCCTCTGGCGGCCAGCGTGGGGACACAGACGCAAGAGGAGACCCAGCGGGTCAGGGCTGGACAGGGAGGACAGGCGGCAGGTGAGGGGGGGCACCGGTGGCCCGTGCCACGGCCCTGGCTGCGTGGAGACCGAGGTGGGAGGGTCGCTCGAGCCCAGGGAGCCCAGGTGGCAGTGAGCTATGACCGCAGCCTGCGCTCCGGCCTGGGCAACAAGGAGAGACCCTAAGGCGGAGCTTTTTAAAGGGCGGGGACAGAGGAGCAGGAGGGGAAGGCTAAGGGGGGAGTGACTGGAAGGGAACAGGGCAGCCGAAGGCAGGGGAGGCCCAAGAGGGCGGGCCAGCCAGTCCTCCCTGGACAGACTGCCAGGGAAGCAGGGGGCCGCCCAGGGCTCCCCCGACCTGAGGCCCCGAGCCAGCCACACCGCTCCCGCCGGGCGGTGCCCTCACCTGCCGGGCCAGCCGGCCCTTGTCCTCCGTCTTGACGCAGGTGGACTCATGGAAGATGCGCAGGCACTCCTCCATGGGGTCCGAGTCGAAGTCCACCTCCTTCTCCAGGGCCGTGTAGTCCACGGCCGCCTCCACGCGGCCCCCCGAGGAGGACG